TAGGGATAATTGCAGAGAAAGAAATATTTAACATCAGTCTCCTTCAAACTCTCAACACTTCAAAATCTACAAGATAAGGATAATTGCCAGAGACTACCAATGAAAGAAAGTGGAAAGTCAGCATCTTCCTTTAGAGAGCTCCTCTGCTTTGCCCTGCTGCATTTTCTCCTAAGATTTCATGAACAGAAGCATTATTCAGGCCTCGGCACCGCACATGCCAGGGAACCATCATGTAAATAATGGAACAAAAATAAATGGTATTTTATCCCTGCAATTATTCATCCAAAAGCAACTGCTCCGCATAGCTTGAGGATATAAATATGATGTTTCACAACAGGACCTGAATTTCATTTGGGCTCCCTGGTTGCTACCATAAAATAAGCTAATGCTGTAGTAATTACACACCATGTATTTTAATAGTAGTATATTCTCTTCCATTTGGGACAGGAGGGTAATGCTAATGAAGTGGAATTCTATATTGATACAAGCAGGAGATTTTCATTCTAAGCTAGGATGAAAAAAAGCTAATTCCATAAATCTATACCTATTTTTAAGTTAGCCTGCTGAACCAGCAAAAAATGTTGGCAACACCAAGTACTATCTTTGCCCAGAAAGTCCCTCTCCAAAGGTCAGGCTTACAAACCACCAGGTAGCAATATCAGCTTACACATCTTTTCATGGTTAATAAAACTCCATTTAAAAGAAAAAAAAATCCCCCCGAAAGCAATGCAAAGTCTGGCCCAGGACGCCCCTAAGGATAGGACTTAAAGCCTGAGCTCCGTTTAACTTATGAGTCTGCTTGGAAGCGGGTCTCCTCCTGGCAGCCACTCCAGTCTGTCCCTTCACGTGCTAAGTAAAAACATATTGTCCTATACAACACGTGCCCCTGGATTTTGAGAGGAAGGGAAGAGGGCTCTAATTCCTAAAATACAGCGCTGAAAATGATATAGCAAATCTTGAAAAAATACAGCACTAGAAGGATGACACAAAGCAAGCGCTGGGCTATCAGCTGCAGCAAGCGGCTCCGCACAAGCCCTCTTACAAAAGACGTTTGTTCTTCACCCAAAGATCACTCTTTTTAGCAATACTTTCTTTTTCACTAGGTCTCCTTATAGAAATCTGCCTATACAATCCGAGAAGGCTGCCCATGCAAAAAACCCCAAACAAACAAAAAACTATTAAAAGTCGAGGTTGACATAAGAACTACTATAAAAGTTAAAAATTCTACGTGTTATTTCCCATTTTATATAGACTGTTTGCGAATCGTTACGGTTGTTGACAATTAACTTCAAAGCTATCTTAGGAGTCACGAGGCAAAACCCTATTCAAAGTATGCACCGAAACTCAACTTCGGTGAACCTTAACGTATATAAAATAATTGATGGAAATTTAGTTCAAAGCATTATGGAAGTATGTAGCATGTTCTAGAAATGCGCAACACTTTTCTTGCTCACATGATTATCAATTTACATATATGAATTTACAATTATGAAATTCCTGAACTTACAATACAGGAGTAAAATACAGAAATCAACCTTATTTCAAGTGCTGAAAACAGGCTGATATATCCTCAGGCATGTTGATTTCAGCTCTCTCCTTTCAATCAATCGATTTAAATCAAGTTTAGGCTTGTAAACTGATCTAAGCATGCCTGTAAATTGCAACAGCTTTTGGTTTTCTTAACAGCCTCTTGTCATCTGGTTATCACTCTCTGCAGAGTATTAAATGCTGTTTTGAAAAAAAAATGGAACACAGACCTCAAAAATCTGGACTCTAAAACACTTTTAAACAATAACTGCTTATTTATGCAAACTATGTAAAAATTTTAAAAACAAGCATTTAAATAAACCCTCAGAACTGAATTTCAATTAAAAAAACACTCTGGAGTTTCAAAAATCTTCGGAAAAGGTCTTGGGGTCAACCACTAACAAGGAGGAGGTTTGCAAAGTACCGCCCTTATCAGCTGCTGTCACACGTGTGTCGTTATCAGCATTAATATTCTGCTAATATAATATTAGCGGGTTTCAGGCTGGGCCACTGACCACTCGTGATGGCTTGTGGACAAGAGAGGCCTCGTGTTGAGCAGCTGAGAGCGCTCTGCTGTGTAGAAAGAGCCGCCCTGGAGGCAGCAGCAGAAGTGACCAAGGGAACAGGAGTATTTGAGCACACTGAGGCCTCAGCAGCCGCCGCCGCACCCCGACAGGCACCGCTCTCAGAAACCAGCTGCAGCCCTGTCACTGCTTCACACCCTCGGTTTAGAGGGTTTCTTTTTTTGTGCTGAGACAAAAAGACCCTTTACCAAAACATCCCACAATATGATGGGGGATGATGATCCTTACAAACATGTTCTGTCTGCTCCACAATTGGACCATCCCAACCATCCTTTGGTTTCTGCGGAGTTGGGCGCTGCGAGGCCAGAGCTGCACAAAGCACTGCCAGTGACACCAATTTCCCTTTTCCTACACGACTCCATCGAGCAATTAGGCAAAATCATCATACACTGCGTAGCTGTTGTTCTTCCAAGACGCTCGAGCTCTCCCATGAATAATTCCGAAGTGGAAACACTTTTCATCACACATCTGCACCTCTATTATTTTTCCCTGGAGCTTCAGCAACACATCTTGGGAGAAAATAGAAGCGATTGTGGCAGACAGTTGTTCAGTAACTCCACACAACTTCCCTAATGAATCTGAATTGCTCTGTCTTTCACCGGGCTGATGAAGAGCTTCTGAAGCCCAGCTGCAGTCAGAAATCCTCCCTGCACTGCCACCCCAGTGTCGGCCCGTTTCATGACTGCTACTAAATATGGGAGAGCTGGAGGCAAAGCCTGCAATTTTACAGCTCAATACTCGCTTCTTTCCTCATTTCCTCTAACAAAGGTATTAGTGGAAGGCCAAATAAGAATAGAAGTCCCTCGAGATGCCTGCTGTGAGACACGTCACAGCGTTTCTTGAAAAAATTTAAAAACAATAGCTTAAGGGCAAGTTTTTCCATCAGAAATCAAGTTATTTTAAGAGAGTCAATATTTATAATAAGTGCCACAGTACAACAGATGAATTGAATTATTGAACTTTCAAACAAGAAGTATAGTGCTGGAAGTTCAAGATGCCTACCAAAATTTCATTTCTGCAAACACACAAAGGAGCTTCCTTTCTTGCAGTGCCACGCAAATACATCTTTATGTTAATTTAATGTGGATTTCATGGCACAAAAGTACAACTGTAAAAAGACAAATCTTGGTTTGTTTTTTCATTCCAGAAAATTCAAATAAAATTTAAATAGTTAACTTGCATAAGGCCATGGTCTTGACTGTATTAGCCACGTTTTCTTTTCCTTTTCTGAACTCATCTAAGTATGTTTATAATGTTTCTATAGGAACACATTAACACCATAATAAATAAGTACTTTAGACTTATAACTCTATGAAAGGATAAGAATGTAGCCCTTCTGTTATCTATATATCTCCCTATTATTAGAATCTGTTGTTTTCTGATAATCATAACCAAGTGAAAGCTTTAATTCTGCATATTTAACAATTTCAAAAGCAACTACTTCATACTACTAAAGACTTGTAACATTGGAAAAGATGTTTCTGCAACTGCTCCCCACCAAACAGACAAGTATATTTATACACCTTGCATTTCAGTTACCGTAGCTGCAGTTATAAAGGTGTTAGCAGCCTGTTCTATTAAACAAACAAACAAACAAGGAGTTCTGAGACATGACAGGATTTCTGCCCATCGTAAAGGACAATCAAAACTCACAGGAATAACTGTTAATTCTACAAATCTAAGCAGTGGAAGGGGTTTTGTGTTGGCTATTGATAAGTTTCACAGAAGAATGAGAGAATGTGGCTTAAAGGACAACAACGTTTGAATAAAACTGAAATTTATAACCTTAAAATTTGCCACTTTAAGTGTGGAGTTTGCATGGATAATGTAAACCAGAATTTGCAAAAGAGTGCTTTGAATCAGAGAATCAAAAGAATTATTTTTGCACACTCCTGAAAGGAACAGCTTGAAGTTCAGCATGAGCTTGAATGTGGTTTATTTTGAGTCCCTAAACAGCGATTTTAAAACACACTGAAATGCTGGAAACCTCCCTTTTGCTAGGAAAGTTGCAACATTCTCAGATCTGTCAGGATCTGTAAAGGAGAACACATGTGCCTCCTGTGCACACCACAGAGTGGGGGGGACATCACACACTGTACCTATCGCTACAAGTTTAAATTAAAGTATTTGATCCCCAGGTGGAAGGAGATACAATACCTGATTTTCTTTTTCTTTAGTATATGCATTGTCTTTCAACATGGCAAACACATGAACCTATTCCCATTCCTTAACAGAGACTGCACCAGCAATGACAACAAGCAATCTTTAAAATTTGCAGTTTTCAAAGAAAGGAAAAATTGAGATGCAAGGCACAAATACTAAGGTAAGAAAAGCTTTCCTAATTCCCACACATACACAGGCATTGTAGGTAGAGTACTAGCTCGGTTTCAATACTCTGTAGGCAGAGCACTACAGTACATGAAAATGTATTTTTAATGTTTGGATTTTATTTAATGTTTGTTTGGATTCATGCAACACTGTATTCTACTGTAGTTAAAGCAGATAAGCCATCAACTCTTATAAAGGAAAATCTGAATATGATTTCAATGATAAAAGTTACTGCTTCCCTTTCTAGGGAGGGAAGGATAGAGGAAAATGACTATATATTACAGTACTCCTATCATTATGACAAACACTCCAATGAAACTTCCTTTGAACAAGACTAAAATCAAAGTGCAATACTTCTGGTGGTAGATGGCCTTTTGTAAACGGTGGTACGTGATTGAATCCAAGCATGGTTTCCTGCCATGAAGGCAAAACCAGACAGTCACGACATGCTAAGAGCAGCATAATTGTAATAGGGCCATAGTGCAAGACGATGACATAATGAAAAGAAGGCACAGTATAATTTCAGAGATTGTTTTTTATTGTGATGATGAAAACACTCACCTTGAAAAGACTGTTTGGCTCTATCCACTAGTTCTTCAATGGGATAACTTGCTAGATCTCCTCTGGCGTGCTTGGTTTTGCAGTAGGTACAGGCATTGAGACATCTATGAGGAAATGGAAAATATTTTGATTTCGACTCAACAAAAGCTTTATGTGCACAGCTATACTCATTAAATATATTTGGAAAAATAAGCTTTTATGTTTATGACAAATACAGAATTATTTCATTTTAAAATCAGTATACTACCTAAAATTGCTCTGAAGAGCACTTTACCCTCCTCCTTTCCTAAAGTATCTTTCGCATCTATACAGATGTTTAGAGAAAAAAAGAAGTTGAACAAAAATTCTGCTCCAGCTCCACAAGTATGGATTTACCTCCTTTCAGAAAGCTGCATAATGTTCTTTAATATCTAACAAATCTGAACCAGAAAAAGATGTGAAAGACCACTATAAGCTTGAAATATATTTGTTATTCTCTAAACACATTTAATTTTTCCTTCTCTCATTGGGCAGTATAAACAAAATAAATAACATAATGAAGACAGAATCACCAACTGGGAAGACAGCTTAGCATAAAAGACTGAGGAGCTTTTGAGAAATTCCCCTGAAAAAACAGAGAGCATGAATATTTTTAATTTACCTGACAGTGTAGTAAAAAAAAAAAAGACAGATTAGTTCAATAAGAGGANAAAAAAAAAAAAAAAAAAAAAAAAAAAAAAAAAAAAAAAAAAAAAAAAAAAAAAAAAAAAAAAAAAAAAAAAAAAAAAAAAAAAAAAAAAGGAAGGAAAAAGATTACTGCACGCGGTACAAGGTTTTCCTGAACAAATCTTTGGATCATGACTGTGCTGTGAATGCAATAAGCAGAATTTTCCAAGAGAGTTTGTTGAACCTTTCCCCCTGCTCCTTCCACCTCCTTAAAGCTCATATTGCCCTAAATTATTTTTGTTTTCACAATCAAAAATATACAGTTTCAATATAATAAAGTGACTGGGTGTAAGAAAATGGTTAAAGCTCAAAATACAACAGTACTATTACAGAAATTTTAAAGCAAAAAAAAGTATTATGCCCTATGGTTTCTGAAGTGACCAGTTACAAGACTGCCTTTCCTGGTTGAACATGAGCTCTTATCTCCTACTATACCATCCCTGGCAGCTCCCTGATGATGTAACTACTGTTTTGCAAACTCCAAAGGTTTTCCTTCACAAAAGTTCCCTTCACGCATTACTTGCATGTTGTTGGCACAACTAGTAGCTCAAGGAGGGCAGGACATGGGGCAGACCTCCTGTCCTCCTGCCCCTATGCATCAACTTGGCCCTGAAATGGTCTCCGTGTACATCCTCCTTCGGTCATTGCACATCAAGAGTTTCCCTGATGCTCCTTGCTAGACTGGACGTCACCAGTATGTCATTCATTGGCCTATTTACGTAAAACACTTCTCTTGCTTATGAAAAGAAGCTTTTCTCACACCAGAAGAACCTGTTTTACATCATAAAACTGAAAAGATACTGCTCGATGATAACAGTGAGATTCAGAAATGAAAATGGTTTAATAAAAGGTTAACAACAACAAAATAACAAAAATCAACCCCCACCAAATCTGAACCTTCGCACTTTGCTTCAAGGAAGTGATTCCCCACTCAAAAGACAGTGCCTTCATCACTTGCCACATCATTTTGCATATCTTACCATTCTTTTACAAAGCAGAAGTCTTTCATAAAACAACATTTAAAGCATATTCAATAGAATAGCATTTGAATAAAGAGCATATAAGCAGTTAGTGGCTTCTATTAGATCTATTTAATCTATTTAATAACCTGCTAAAATAGCAGCTCTCATGAGCTCTCATGACAGAGTTGGCTTTTTCTAGATCTTCTGGGTTTTTTTTTTTTTTTTCAATTCTGTTTTCACTTGAAAGTAATATAAAATCACATGCATGATAAAAGTGTCTGATCAACATGCACAAGTTTGATGCATGCACTAATATTTTGATATTTGCATAAATTCTTGCTTTACTTAAATAAAATAACTTTCCCAGTAATATTTATCAAGGCAAGTGTAGATTTAACTTAGAAGAACTCTGTCCCATGACAATTGCACTGGCTTCTACTTTTCACTTTTAATTATCATCCTAAGAAAGCCTGAAAAGGCCCATTTATCATTCTGCATCCGGTATCGCAAACAGAAGACTGGTTTTGCTTCCCCTTCCACTGAAGCTTAAAAGAAATTTCGTATTTCCCACTAGTTTTCCGTGTGTGTGTGTGTGTACACACACATTTCCCCCATAGTTTTTCCCCTAATATGAAAATAAAAAGGTTTAATTAACATAGATCCTTTTATCTATGAATTATATTTTTTCTTTCTTTTTTTTCATTTTTTACTGTCTCTTCTCTCTCCAGTCTAGTATCTAGAAGCAGAATTAAAAATCTACTATCTAGCTATATTTATAGGAAAGAAGTCTCCCCTGTAGCTTCAGAGATGCTTCCTGGGCAAATACTCAGAAATATCCCCTGCAAAATCCTATCTGCAGCCTATTTATTAATTCTAACCTGGAAAAAAAACAATCTTTCAGGCTACTCTAACACATATAAATACTAAATACTCAACTAACCACTTGTCACAGATTTGGGAACTGTCTGTCCTTGAAGACACACATTTAAACCAAAATGCAAGCATAATAAAGTCTCTGTAGTTTTCTTTCCCCCTTAGCAAGCCAACCTCCCTCCCACTTTTCCAGTCGAGGGAGTTGCACGTGCCCAAGCTGCCACTCGAGTGCAAAACGGTTGGTGGGAACCTGGAGAAAGTCATGGAGGAGAATTCACCAGCAAGCAGATCTAAAAGCCAACCCTTACAGAGGTACCCAGTTATGAATAAGAGCACTTATGGCAATGCAGATAAATCCTCACTTCCCTTCAGTGGGGCTCATCAGTGGCTTTCAGCAGCAGATGAGAATGCGAGCGCAGACACTGGGGCAAAAGCCTGGTTCCTCTTAACCAACGAGTTGTGCCTCTAACTTCAGCAAAGGCAGGACTGCACCCTCAGATATTGAAAGCACAACACATCTTTCCTTCAAGGGTCGGAAAAGAGCTCAGTTAGAGACTGTGATGTGCAATTAGGGTGCTACTGATTCACGTTTAACGTGATTTAAACCGCTTGGCCAAGGTCACACATCCATGAGCAAGACGGGCAAGCTGCACAACTACAACAGCGTCGTGTGACACAACATCCCTGCTGCTCCGTGCGGGGTTCATTTGGGCGCCAGGGATATTGCCCCCTTCCCTCTTCATTTCCTCAATAACCCAGTCAATCCTTTTTATGGTACCAACCCAGTGAGCCAGTAGAAAAAGAAACTCAGATCTAAGACTACTTTTTTTTTCCCAAAAAAATTAGATACTGCAAGAATAAAGTAAAACAACACTGATCACAAGTTAGTCAAAACAGTTGCTAATGCCTGTCCTGAAGAGATCTGCCTGGTTATGTAAATACAAGGTTTTATGAAGTTTGCATGGTAAAAAAACATACAGCCCCCCTGGGACATCATCATTTCACTGCAAATGCAGAACAACTCGCTGCAGCGACCTGAAGGCCTCCTTAGGCCTCATTAATTATCCAGTTTTCCCGCAGTGATTTTTCGCTGTAGGATACACAGTTTTGCAGTCATAACAATAGCACTACTTTTACAGTTTTATTAGGTTTACAGAGTTAAATATGATTAATATTTAACCACCGTAAATTCCATTTTGCACTTCCAGAACTTTCAATTCTCATCCAACTTAATGGCATTGGATGGGGGCAGGGGGCGGGAATAGTAATTCCGGCAGAAAAAACAAGCCAAATTTCTGACTTATCTTCAGGAATCTCCTTTTATTCTTGAATTAGGCCATTTTATAATAAAGCTTTTCAATCCACTATGATGAGGATTTTACAGATTTGGGGAGGTTTTTTGTTTTCATGTTAAAAAGATCCAGGAATTCAGGATTTAAAGTACTTCTGAAACAGTAAAAAACTAATTCCCAGCAAGACTAATTAGTCTAACCAACAAACCACATTATTGCAGAAATGTTGTTTCTAGTACTCAGGCTTGTTTGGAGCGAGCTTGGACATTTCTATTTGCTGTGCTACACTGATGCCCCCAGTGTTACAACAATATTTTCCTACCAAGAAAAAAAGATAGGTGATTAAAGCAGGGTTTCCCTCAAATCGGCTTTGCAGCCAAATATTTTAGAAAACACTCTGAAGTGGCAATATCTCCTTAAAAAAAAAAAAAAAAACCTCTTTAAAATTTTAGAAAGGGGAAAAAAAGGATGAATCTTCAAGATCCAGTATGCAGGGTACAGGAGTACACACATTTTTGTCAAAATTACAATGCAACTGCTGGATTCTATTTTTGAACTCTCTAACCCGTACTATGTCAAACAAAATGGGACCAATATGCATTAAAACTTTACTCTTCCAAAGAATTCTGAAGTCAGCATCTAACAATACCTCACCAGTTATTAACTGAATGGAGATAGAGAAGACAAGCCATTTACTCCAATACATATGACTTATTTTGGCACTTCAAATAACTTGCATTTTGTGAAACTGTGTTTCTATGGTCAAGCATAGATGATTCAAAGGTCACATCTACATTGGGATATACATGCTATTTTCTTATTTTAAGAAGATTAATCATTAATGTTAATGATTTAACATGAGCAAAATGAAGTGCAATGTCACTTTTTAAGGCTCGTCTGAAGAACCTTCTTAGATAATTGCTTTGTTCACACATTGTGCAATTGCTTGAGTCAAATCATGAGGCACTGTAGATAGATATTGAAAAGCAAAACATTCCATTGCCAAGCTGTGAGTGTCCCACCCCGTAACAGGGCCTTGCTAGACGTTTACTGGAAACTGCAAGGATTTTGTCCCTGCAATTCAAACTAAAACTCTGTGGTCGAGACACACAAATCTTGCTGGCTATGTTTCCAAATAGTTGCTGGGCTGTGCACACCACAACTTCGGGGGTAAATCATGACAGTTATGCATATCATAAAAATGACTGAAAATGACTCAGTTGGAACAGCACAGGTAGATTCTGTGCTTACAAAGAGCAGTGGATTGCATGG